TAGGGGTGTAATGGTTTCAGAAAGTTTTTCATGTCAAATGATTTGACTGCATCACACAGAGATTCTTCACAGTCAACCCTATTCCGCCACATTCATATTTTTGTCTGTGGCAGAGCTGCGGCAGCGGCAGAATCGCTCCTGGGTGCGATTTTTACTGTCCCGCTGCGTGCCGCTGCCGTGCCGCTGCCGTCCCGCACTTATGGATTCAGACATTGATATTCCTGTTGGAGCGATTTTTATCGTGCCGCTGCCGCTGCCGTCCCGCACTTATGGATTGTCAGTCCAACATTTCCCCACACTCTATTTTCGCCGTTTTTCTCTCTCTCCCAGTGTTCACGTTTTTCTCTCTCTCCCAGTGTTCACGTTTTATGTCTTTGAGTCCCGACAGCTCCCTCCTTCTACTTCTAGCAAGTTCACTTTGACGTGGACTGTGCTCGTTCTGTAAACACAGAAACTGTGAACCAATTATTTTGTAGGCCAGCCCCATTTGGCCGTTTCTAAAGACAAGCGAGCTAACCCAAAGTGGGCATTGCCCTACCTAGAGGAGAAGTTTGGTTTCACCCGTGTGTACATTTGTTTGGCAACAGAAGAGAAAATTCTCCTCGTCTTTTCAAGAAACTGAACAAGGGTCCGAAAACTTCACCTTCGATTTTCTCAAAACAGCATTTGTTTGGATAGTCCCCAAACCTTGTGCTTGAAAGCGGTCATTCCTCTGAGACAAAAACTCAAATGTCGTGCTGCTTTAGCCAATCACAAGAGGGATCAAAAGCTTTCCACAGACTTTTATTGTTTGTTTGTTTTGTTTTCTTGCTTGTTTATGTTTTAAAAATTGTACTGCAACCTGTTCTGTGTGACATACGGAGTTCACAGCAATTAGGCCCCTGTGTTTTTCACCCAACTGTTTTATTCTGCTGGTTATACTAAGCTAATGGTCTGGAGAACGTGAATAGTTATGATCAGGCTCATGAAAACACACACGTGACATCACACAACGGCTACTGTCAACTATTACGTCACGTTTAGTTGTGCACACTAGTCCTGCGTATTGGATTGTTTGGGAAACTCAACTGTCTCGGAGAAATGAAGAATGTGGGATGTAGGGGAGATAGTTAGTGATGACAATAGTAGCAAACGGGGAAAAGTGAGAGGTTGGGGAGGGGCTGGAATAGGGAGAGAAAGAAGAGGGGAGAGATGGAGGGAGGGAGAGAGAGAGAGAGAGAGAGAGAGAGAGAGAGAGAGAGAGAGAGAGAGAGAGAGAGAGAAAGAAAGAGAGAGAGAAAGAGAGAGAGGGAGAGAAAGTGTGTGTGCTGTGTGTGTGTGTGTGTGGGGTGGGGGGGGGGGGGGAGACACACAGACACGCGTATATAACGTGTAATAATGTGTATACATGTTGCAAGATATCTATCTATATTGTTATAATATAGCATTGTATTATATAACCATTATATCATTATACCAGTACAGTACGTGCAATTGTATTGTCTACATTTTTCTATGTATAAATACAGGATTATAAATATTTATTTTTACAATTATTATACAAAATTGTATAATAGAAATATTATACAGTATACCGGTACATGTTATTGTTGTCTATGCTTGTTCGTGTATTCGTATACGTACAATCATTTACTGTACTCCTAATTTTTAAAAATATCCGAAAAAAGACATCAAGGAATGTATCAAAATGTTTGCTCTGAAAGTGTCACCAACGCGTACTGCAAAGCTTTCTAAAGGAGCAAAACCTCCACGTGCAGCACGGAAATCCTAGGGGAATTATTGCCCAATTTGCTATTTTTTCTCGACTTGTGTGCAACCCCAAGGACATTCTTCAGTTAAAATTTCTGGTGCACGTCACAAACCGGCGTACGGTCTCGAACTGTGCTCACTTTGGTGACAATATAAGCCACCGTTTGCGTAAAATCCGGTATCGCATCAACATACCACCAAGACGAAAGCTGAGAGACTTTGATTGTGCAGCGCTATGGCATGTCTGCAGGATGGAGTTGGAGCCCAAGAAGTCGCCAGAAGGCTTGCAGTGTCACACTCTGTCATTGTCCGCCTGAGGTAGCGCCATCAAGCCACTGGATCAGTCCAAGAACGCCCATGTGCAGGTCGACCCAAGAAGACAACAGAGTCTTTGCAAGTGGTCCTTAACTTTTGTTGAAATCTGTATTATGTAGCCAATTCCTCGGTTACACATTGTCATGGCAAAGAGTTTGGCAAGCACATGTACTCGTAAGACGTTCCAAGGTCTAGCAGTAGGCTACTTTGATTCACCACAGCATTACAGCAAGCTTCTGTTCGCTTAATGTCGTCGGAATTTTAGGTGTGTATACATTCACATCGACACAGTTTGCATCATTTAGGATGGGGGCTTCCGATCCTGCCTGTCAGGGACAACCCGGGCTGAGAGGGATACAACTTCCCAGCAGACAGGCCCAGGCTGAGAGGGATACAACATCCCAGCAGGCAGACCCGGGCTGAGAGGGATACAACATCCGGCAGTGTCCCTCTCAGTCCACGTTGACCTTGACAGGCACTGCCAGAAGCCCGCCTCCTAAATGATCTAGGTTGTCTCGATGGGGACGTAAACACGTCTACATTATTTTAAATCATAAAACATCTCTGTGTATTCTATTCCGTAAGACAGACAAAAACCTCAGACAAGACAATAAGCTCAGGATGTTAGATGAGCACGCATGCACCCACAAGGGCAGACAAGATGAGAAGATGCACAAGCAAGGCCTACAGTTGCCTGGAGAATGTACACAGACTAAAGCGTAATCCTCGCATGGCTGTCAAACTTAATCGCTCAAAGGGGGTGGAGGGGGTAGAGTCAAATTGCACTAAAAGTTTGTGGGGCCAACTGGTTAAACACTCCTTTTGCAGAGGAAAAACTAAACCTTTTTAAAACAATTATGAATCATGAATTAAAATAGACACAAGTTAAAACAACAATAACAAATCAAGGCATACCAAATTTCGCTCTTGAATTTAATTATTATTTTATCAGAGCTGTATGTTTAACATCTTCTCTTGGCCACAAGTTTGTTTATGTTTTTGGTTAAGGTTCTGTGTTATGGAGATTCTTCTGATGGACTTCCCTACATTTTCTCGAAGACAGGCTATCATTAAATTGCCTGGTTGTGTTTGCCAGGCCATATGTGGCCTGTGCGCCTTGATTTGATACGTTTTGAGAGCAGCGAGGATATATGCGTGCTAGGATGGATGGTAGCTTCATTATGATGGGCACCGAAATCACAACACACTGAGACAAAAGGAAAGTGGGTCAACTGAGAGCTCTCGGTATGGCCACATTGACTGACCGAAGTTTAGCAGTAATTCATGCACAGCTGAAAACTATTTCTGAAACACTCAGTCAAAGCGGATCTTTGTCCGAGATGTGAATTGTGTTTGTTTGATTGTATTTGTTTCTGTATCACCCCTCCCCCTACATTCCTTTTTACTTCTTTTTTGCATTTGTACTCCGTTACTCCCCTCCCCTCCCCCTCTATTTTTTCCTTCCCTTGTGTATTCCTCTTTCTGTACTCGCCATTATTTACAAGATGTCTACACCCCCCCCCCCCTTTTTTCCAACAAACAAACTAAACAAATGCTTAAGTGGGTATGACACGTTCAGTTAAAGCTGACAGTATTCCGTCCTCTTTGTGAAAAGAAAATAATAATCTTCAAATGCCAGATCTGCGACAGCTTCGGTGATCATAGTTCTTCATTCACCCTCTTGCTTGAATGCTCTAAAAAAAAAAAAAAAAGCAACATTATCTTGACATATCCCCGTCACCCATCTGTTTAGGCTCTCCAAGTAAGTTGTTCTGGGTCTGCCCCTGCCTCGTTTGCCTTCAATTTTGCCAGCGAGAAGCAAGTAATAAATGGGGCAGTCTCCATAAACGTTATTATTCTTTTTGTGACTTTTCAAAATTCAGAAAAAAGTTTATAATTGCCAGTGTTATCTCCGGCAACGACAGGGCTTTATCCCCCCGGTAGACGACAACAACGACAGACGTGGGGTACAGTCAGGTCTTTGGGTGTCCGGCTGCTGGACTGTCTGATAAAATTCAGGTTGATCACCTTATTGAAAACTATATCCTATCATAAAAATACTAGCACAGTCGGCACCAGCGTACCAAAGAGAACAAAAAGACATTGTTTTGCTGGATTTTGAAGTTCACAACGATAGAAGAATGAATTTTTTCAAGATTGCATCCTGTAGTATGTTCTAAATCGCAAAGAAGACGGTCAACTGTCAGTTTTAAGTGAACGTGTAATACCCCCTTAAGGGGACAGCCAACTATCAGTTTTAACTCTAATACCCCTTTGAGGGCAGGAACAGCTAAATGTCAGTCAGTTTTAACTGAACGTGTGAGAGCCCCTTAACTGGACAGGCAACTGTCAGTTTTAAGTGAACGTGAAATACCCCCTTGAGGGTACAGCTGTCAAGTTTTTGCTGTGCGTGTGATAGCCATTAGTGTAACTGTCACGTTTTAACTGAACGTGTGAGAGCCCCTTAAGTGGACAGGCAACTGTCACGTTTTAACTGAACGTGTGAGAGCCCCTTAAATGGACCGGCAACTTGCAACCTACCTCAGAATGGCAAAGTTCTAGCTGACAATTTCGCCAGTTTTCAGTTACTGAGACCACAAGGTCAGCAAACAAATGATCTATCTGCTCTATCAAAATAGTAAGATTATTCGGAGTCGTTATCTATCAGGATATTCTAAGAATTGCTTTCGAAAAAGCTTGACATGTTGTTAAACTCAAAATCTTTTACGTCAAATTTCTCAAAAGTATGTACTGAGAAGAATTTTGTGATTCAGGGGTAATGAACTGTCAGTTTGAAGTGAACGTGTGATACCCCATGAGAGCATGACTGCCGACAGACGGATTTTTGCTGCACGTGTGAGATCCCCTTAAGTGGACAGACAACAGTGTAACTGTCAGTTTGAAGTGAACGTGTGATATCCTGTTTGGCGACGCACCTTCGTAGTCAATCTTTCCGTCCTTGTTGACGTCAGCCACCCGGATCATGGCCTTGACCTCTTCCTCAGAGAGAGGCTCTCCCAGCTTGGTGAGGACTCCCATCAGCTCTCGGGCGTCGATGAATTTGTCGTTGTTTTTGTCGATGAGTCTGGGGGGGGGGGC